TAGGAGATTGCTCAATTTGCAACGTCCTCCTCAGACTCTAGAAGCACTTCGAGAGGAGTTGGTGGTTGCCTGGAATGAGATACCACAGGAGGACATTGACCACCTGATCAGAAGCATGCCTAGGCGCGTTGGAGAATGCGTAGCACATCAGGGTGCATCCACACATTATTAAAGGTCAAAGGGCTTTAAAGCAGTGCAATCATTTTGAAATTTTTATCATTTACTTATTATGCTTCATTAAGTACTTATACAAAATTTTATTAAAATAAAACCATTTAAACTGGGTGTTCGGATTTATATGTCACCTAGTATAATTTTTCGAGCAAAGTATATTATTACCATATTAAGCTCTTTGGAAAATGAATGTGAGCAATTTATTTCTGCTATTAAAAATTAAATTCTGTTTGAATACACCCCATTGTAAGCTATTTCTAATCATTCACTTTAGCGAGTATTTTGTTTATTTCTTCTGTTCAACCCAATAGGGCGCCGAGTCCCTCTCCCAATTCAAATTTGCTCTAGCCGCAAGTAATAATTAACATAAGATCGAAATTCCTCCGAATGGAGTCCGGAAACTTTGACGGAGCCTCCAGACCGAACATACTTGAGCAAATTATTAATTATTAGTCCCCCTAGGATATGCCGAACCCGGATCGACGACGGGACCCACCGGGATCCTCCTCCTCAAGGAACTTTGCGGAATGCCCCAAGAAAAATCCACTTGGAGACTCGAGCAATGTCGATAGGGGAGCTAGTTGAGGGCTCCGGTCACTGGCTATAAAAGTGATATATTGTTGATATATCTGCAGGGTCATTACGTAAAAGATCTTCGTGATGTCAAAAAAAAACCGACAAAGTGTCAAGCGGCCGTTCAAGTATTACGTAAGCAGATTTATTACAATTATTTACCCCCCCAACCCCCTTGTCAGCAAAAGTAAGCAAAGCTCTTACCCCCCCCCATGCTTACGTAAATTCGAAATTAGATGTTTCTAAATGTTCACCAATTGTAACACCACGTTCATCCAAATGAGACCCAAAATGGTCATGAGGCAATATTAAACCAGCCAGTTCCCGACTAAGAGGAGCCATTCTGCGCTCTACTCTGTTATAAGCACTTCTTCCAGGAGCATTGGTAGCTAAAAACAATGCATCGAGATCATGTCGCTTAAAGTGTTGTATAGCAAACCCTATGACTTTTTGATAACGTGTCTTTTCATCTGGCCCTCCATCAACTGTCATGATTACCACTGGTTTTACTAGTCCATGGTCAGTTTTAGCTAATGGTCGAAACTCTTCAAGTTCGAGAAGCGTCTCGAAATCCTGAGCATGAGTATTAGCAGTAGATGAACTATACTTTCTACTTC